AAATGTGTAAATGAGGAAGAGAAGAGGTACTGGAAAAGGAGAGATTCGATAAAGGATGCATTCTCTAACTAGCTAGTCGTAGAAACAGGAAAAAGGCTAGGCTTGAGATTTTTGGGTTTGTCTCAGTTAAGGGTCAGATTGAGAGACACCTCACTGATTCTTCTTGGGCTCTCCCCTGAGTATGATCACTGGTATTCTATGAAGCATCTCACTTGCCCTACATTTGGTAACCTGTTCCCAGGCCATTCAGAGAAAAGTCCTCTCTGCATAGCAATAAATGGAGAGGGAACTGAGCTGGCTCCCTTCAGCCTCTGTCATGCCATGCAATTGATACCTCACTGAGTGTTACAGGCCTATGGTGTTTACATCAAAAAAGGCTTTCCATAATAGCTCACAGAAAGCTCTAGCTCTCTGCTTGGACCATCTATGTCATCATTAGAGAGTCCTCTGTGTAAGAACCTGGTTAAGGAACTTACCTGGATACAAGCCCTACCTCTTTCTGTAACCACTGGAGGGAATGGCTTTGCATCCTCTAGAACAAGGTGTAAATTAGTAAGAGAGTTCTTTAAAAGGCCAATTAGTAATTATTTACAAGCCAGACATATGGTTCAATGGGTTACATGTTTGTCTGACAAGCTCGAAGACATGAGTTTGGATCCCAGCACTCACAGAAAAGCTAGTAAATAGAGAAATGTGGATTCTCAGGGGTTGGTGTTCAGTTTTACAGCTAAAACAATAAGCTCTAGGTTCAGTGAGAGACCCTGTCTCAGATACTCAGATAGAAAAAGAAACCTGGTCAACATCTAGCCTTTACATGCACATGCATGGATGAGTACACCAGGACATCTATGTGCACATATAGGTGCACACACACACACACACATAATAATAATACACACACACTAAAAAAGATAAGAATAGTAATTGTTTCTTTACAGGCCTTATAATATATTGCTTCTATTCAGTATGGCCTCACAGCATGAAGTATGAAAGCAGTAATATACAGTGTATCTGTAAGTGAGCTATCTTCAGTTGTCCATTATTTTTCTCAGGAGGCAATGTACCTTCCCCTATACCTGTGTACACTAGCTAAAAGAGCTTTTACTTCTCAAGAAACAGTAGAGAGATGTTTGAAATGTGCTCTGTACAATCCTGCCTGGTTTTGAACTTTTGCCTAAAGGGTTTTCTGTGTTGTCTTTATGCAAAATGTTTATACCTCACCATTATGTTTCTCACCTATAAAATGAAGGATGATAAATACACCTACTTCACAGGGTCATTATGAAGATTGCATAGGTTAATCTACATATTTGTCTTAATATTTGGCATAATTAGAATTGAATAAATGTTTATATTACACCTATTTAGAATTTTACTTCTTTTTCTATCCTCTTTACTGATAATATATTGGAGTTATTTTGGAGGCAAAATTAAAGGGTAATTTTCTAGATTTTTCTTAAGATTCAGATCTGGTACCAATATTTACTAAAATATTTGAGTAGCCTTTCAGAATTATATGTTTCAAATCAAAGGGCTGTTTGACAATTCTAAAGTCTTTGCAGGTTGCTCTAACCAGGGAAGAGGGAGCTACTGGCATGCTGTGGCAGGATTTATTTGGTTTAAACTGGCATTAGTGCCAGTATGAGCCCTTAAATTAGATATGTCTCTACTGAACTCTTAACCTCTAATATTTGACACAGTGTATGTCATAATATCACACATGATTTATAAATTATCATCATAATTTTTCTGCCTCATGGGTTTTGAAAAGATGGATGGAAATATTTTGTCAAGTTAAGTACATGTAGTCATGGGAGGTAATTTTTTTTTCTTTTTTGAATGGCACTATCATTGAAAAAAACTCTTGTCAGGTGCCTAGTTGATGAAAAATGTGTAATTTATTTTCTCTTAAATCAAATTTAAACATTGAAGAATTGTTTTGACAATGCGAATGATGTCCTTTGCATTCCATCTCTTTCTATCAATCTAGGACAATTGGAGCTGACAGAGGAGAGCCCCTCAAACCCTGGTCTTTGTTGTGATTTAAAGAAGCCTTTTCTCCATAAATTACAGAGGTGTCTGGCAGTGGAAAGTCTGGGAGGCTGTTATTCACAACTGTTTAACTCTCAATATTGTGATAACATGGCTTTTTGGAATACCCCATTCACACGCTCTCCCTTCTAAATTTCGCCACACTGGAGCAATTACTAATAACTCTTTTCCATCAAAATCTCACCATGACCTCTTTCTCTTATTGCTAAATATGGAGATCTTTCAACTTGATGGATAAATTTGCAAGGGAATTTTTAATTACAAAAAAAAATAAAAATAAAAGGTGGCTCTCGCTGGTGGCTAGGGAGGTCACAGGCCCCAGGGAAAAACCTACTAATGCTTTGCTAAATGCACAGTGTCAAACTACCTTCTAAACCTGTTCTTTGGCCATTTAATACAAGTATATAATGCACTTTGAATGACTTTTATCCCTGCCCTTTTTATCTCTCTCTCACTTATGTCAATCCTCTCTCCTCCCTCTAAGTTTCTTTCCCACATCTTCATGTGTGCTGGTTTTGTTTCGTGCCACCCTGAGTTTAATCAGGATAATACATGTGATCAATTGTTTGTAACTTTTTTGTTGGAGCTTGGTGGACTCACTGGTAGGTATACAACTCAAGATAATGAGTTCCCTTTCCCAGAATCTATCCATAGCCAATAGCTCATGATGGAGGAGTAGGACCCTATGAGTCCCTCTTCCATTCATGACTTTCTTTTATAGCCTCAGTGCTGATAGCTTCAGCTCCCCTGAGTTTCTGGTTTCAATGGTTGTGCCATGCCTAGAGAATTACAGTGCACATTTCTTCTCCAGGTTATTCATGCTTCCTGTCCCTTCTAGCACTGCTCTCAGCATTGGTCAGAGAAGATTCATTTTGCAGTGGGCAGACTCATAAATCTTCAGAATGTGAACAGCAAGTGAGTATGGGGATGCCCTAAACAGGACATCCTTCTTGCCTTCTCTGAGGCTCATGAAACATCCCAGAAGATGGGGATGAGTGCTGTGATACACTGTCTTCTGGATAAAGCACAACCAATGTGTTCATGATGTACTCACTGTAACTGTGTTCACCTGCACCATACCTATACCAGATTGGGTCCATTACCATTTCATCATGCAATGTGAGGGACTTCTGAGACTTCACCCTGCATTTGGGAACTATAAGCCATTAATGAATACTGGGGGAGAGTTGCAATTTTCATCAGTGGTATAGCCATTTGTAAGTTGCCCACAGTCTAGTAAATTTGCTCCCAACTCATGTGTATGCAAGCACCTATAATTAAACTCCATGTCATACACTCATTGTCTCCCCACCACCAACACCACTAACACAGGACATCAAGGTACAAGGGGGAAGAAGAAATGTTTCAGCAGGAGATGGAGTGGGATAACAGGGTAGAGTAATGGGGTATAAAAGTAACAATCCATATATATTTATGGAATTTTCAAAAAAATAAAGGGGGTCTCAATAGGCCACTTCTTTCTGCCAAAAATCTTTTTCTTAATGGCCTCTCTTTTGCGTCACCTGACCTTCAGCAGGTTCCCATGGCTACTATAAGAATTCTAATGAATTCTAATGAAGCTATCCCACCCTGCTGCACCCCACATGGAAACTCTGATGATTAAAGAAGGGCATTCTTTGAGGAGATGAACACTACAACCAAGACATGGGGTTTTGATTGGGAGGTCTTGCCCATGTACCAATCAATGCACTCATCAAGCATACTTGATAGTTGTACTCTAGCCAGTTTTATCTCCTGATTTCATATCTTGTTTGGTCAACTCCAGCCCCCTTACCTGTCAATCTATTTGATCAGCTATTCATCTATCAGTCCAATGGTATATCTGACACAATATTGAACCATATAGTTTTTCCTATCTGGTTTGTTTTTGGATCTTGGTCTAATGTTAATGGCTAATTTTGAAAAGATGAGTCATGACTCACACAGATACAGTAAATGACCCTCAAAGATTTAATTCCACTTCTAGTGAGATAGTAATATTTTATAATTGGTTTGAATGAGAATTGGATTTACAAAGAATGACATTCTCTATCAGGGATACTCACTTTTGTTTCCTGGGCAGAAGCCATTTACCTTGATTTGGACGGGAGACATTTATGTCACCAGCATTATCCACAGCTTATTTTCTTCTTGGAAGTACAGAATGGTGAAAGAGAGTCAGAGTACATGTATACCAATGGTATGGAATTAGCATGGGTGCAATGGTTCTCAACCTATGGGCCATGACCCCTTTGGGGGCTGGATGACCTTTCACAGGGGTCACCCAAGACCATCAGAAAACACAGATATTTACATTACGAGTCTTAACAATAGCAAAATTACAGTTATGAAGGCGTAACAAAAATAATTGTGGTTGGGGTTAATACAACATGAGCAACTGTGTTAAAGGACTACAGCATTAGGAAAGCTGAGAACCACTGCTCTGCAGAGTCTGTTATATGTTATCCTACACCCTGCAGTAGCCATCACTGCTCTAGGCCATAGCCTATGACACTTATTAGCACTAGAAGAGAGAGCCAGAGCAGACAGGATGAGAATGAAGGCAGACACACTGTGGTGTGGAAGAAGGTGGCCCTAATAGTAAGAAGTCTTCTAGGTGACCAAGTCAAGGAGGATCTTACTGTAAATTGTTTAAAACTTCACTTCCCCTACAGGTGGCCTACTTAATTTTTCCCCTTAGAAATCACCTATACTTAATTTACTCAGCAAATAAATATCAAAATAAAATTCTGAAAACCTTTTTATTTAAAAGTATTCTGCATGCTAGGCCGTTCTTAAAAAGGGAGGACACTTTCTCCACACTCAAGTGAACACTAAAGTTTTTTGTTGGCCTTCATTTTCCTCACAAAATTATGGAAGTTTTTAGGATGTCATAAACAAAAACAGATGAAAAACTACATGGTGGTGGTGGTGGGGTGGACAAAAAGTAGGAAGGCGGCAAGCTCCCTGGTGGAATTTGTGTTCAGGCACCCTTTCTCTGCAGTAAAATTTTGTGCAGTTCCTCTGCATCCTTACATGTCTTCACCCGAATTAGCATGGTGACCTCGATGGTGGCACTCTTCTTATCAAGCGGTGGGTCTGGCACACAGACGATGAGGACATTATTCCTCCCCATTCGGGTACATGGCATAGTGGGTGGGACCATAATGTTTAGGAGTATGTTGCCTAACTTCGTATCTTGCACTAAGAGCTGCGTCTTCTGATTGGCTGTGGCTTTTAAGTGCAGGATGCCCCCACCTTTTTCTTTAAACTCGTTGTCTTTCTTATAAAATAGTCTACATTTTTTGGAGTAGAAAACCCCCTCCTCCTTCCCTTCAGTGAGGACCACCTTGGGTGGCTCATCCCCTTTGCATTCATCACTGCTGCTGTGTGCTGGACTTTCCAGAGCTTTTGCAGAAGCTGGTTTCCTCAGGGTGGTACCTTTGCCAGTTAAGCTGGAGCTTCTGGTGGATGATGAAACTCCACTCATGGGACCAGAGCTTAAGGAACCCAAAAATGGGCTTTCGGTGTTCTTGACAAAGTTACACGAAGTAATTGTTGCTCCTTGTGGTGGACCCGCTTTCTTTTCAGCTATAAACTCTGTCTTTTCTGATGCAACCGACTCTGGCTGTGGTTTGGTGGCAACAACTAGGGAAGGAGGCTGTGTCCCAACCAGGCCCCTGTTGGGTTCTCTTTCGGAAAGACAGCTGTAGCTGCTATGGAGCTGCTTTTCGATGGCGACTAAGTACTTCTCATACTGTTTAAACACAGGCGTCAGATTGCAGAATGGGTTTGCGTTCACGTGCTTCACTATCCAGTCCCGGACAGAGCAGTTCAGGCCAGTCAACTGCCTGTGGTAGACACTCCCAGCATAGGCTTGACTGAAAGAAAGGCCCAAGTAGGCAGCTTGTTGATTATGGCCATTAGTCTGGGGAACTGAGGTCTGTTCCTGGCCCAAAGAGGCGGGGCCATTTGCAGTCACAGAACCCAGGGCTGCCTTGGGCTCTGCTGCTGCCCTAGCTGTGTTCTTTCTGGTTGTTATTCCTTCCAGAGGCTTCTCTCCATGGCTGTTGCTAAATTCTCCTCTTCCGGAAGACACAGCCAAACCCTTAATCCCTTTGGAAGTCCCTCCACCATCGGGCTGGAGTCTGGTGTGTCTCCGCTTGGCTCTCTTTATGGTTCTATTCCTCAGGACATCCTGACTGGCCAGCGAGAATGTTCCCTCCTCTTCAGGGTCTTGATGCCAGTTCCTGCCTGTCACTTCCTTCTTGGCATTTTTTTTGGCCATATATGTTGACTGCCCCTCAGGGACCCTGCAGCTCTCCGTGGGTCCCGAGAGCTGTCTTTATCAGGAGCTTGGAGAGATTTGGTTGTCAGCGAGTCTGGCTTCTTGAAAACATGTCCACAGCCCTCCTCTGTGTCCCTCACTGAGCGAAGGGCCGGATACCACCTGGGGAACGGTGACCACACAGCGCGCTCCAGGCTGGAATCTCGGGGCTTTTTAAATTTTAACGGACCTTATTCAGGACCATGGTCTGTATTCAAGAGGGAAACAAGTAACATCTACCATTTCTTTTTCTAGTAGAAATGAAAACCCCACATCTGCTTTTTAGGCCACTTCACCTTGTATTTTTCTTCCCCATTTTTGCTGTCCATTTTTAAGGGCCATGTATGTAGTGATCTTCTGCTTCTATCAAGGCAATAGGTTCCAGGCCCTCAATGATTGTCTGCAACTGTAGATATCATCGAACGAAGTTTGTATATACATGTGTGTGTTCATGCATGCACCTGTGTGTGTGTGTTTGTGTGTGTGAGAGAGATAGAGAGAGACAGATATCATTTAAAATAATTTTGAATTAGGTTTAAGATACCACCAACAGTAATAAAACATAATGTACCTTTGCAGAGTTATTTGAAACTCATCTGGTGCTTAGTTCTAGAATTTTATATTCAATATTTTTAGAGCACACTTAACTGCATATAACTGAAACAATAGAAGGTGAAACTGAGCTTTAGAGAGGGCTACGGAGTCTTTCTCCTCTCAAGCCGACCGTGGCATCTGTCTTTGCTATCTAGTGTGTAACGTTTTATTTCTTTATAATTTCTGTGCTATAGAGTCACTCAAATGCTCAGTGAAGCTTCCAGCAAAACAGGGTCATCTCAAATAATAAAATCACTGTAAAATAAGTTTATATTTTAAAAAGTATCAAAATAGCCATCAGAGACACCTGAACTTTTCTGGATTCCCTCTAACTTATTTGGTAGTGAAACCAACATGATTATACCAGGGATTAGGAAACACTGCCTTGTGGTCTGGCATGTGGTTACAAATGAGGTTTTATTCATGATACATTGTCCATAGCTGTTTTTACACAGCAACAGGTGTAGTTAGAACAGACACTAAGTTTTTTGTAAAACCTAAACTATTTATCATTCATCATTTTACAGGTAGAGTTTGCCACCCTGTGAGTTATGGTAGTGGTTAGAGTTAATGTTATTTGCTTTATATTCATTCATTCAGCAGATATTTGATGTGGCTACTAAAGTCTGACTATGTCCTAAAATCTTCAGGTAAACTGCTAGTTACTTTAAATAATAAGATCCTCAAATACTAGTGTTTTCTTTGCTATTTCACTTTTAGTGATGGCTAAGGATGTTCTGAAATCCTGACGTTGAGGTATTCATCTCCATGTCTTGGTTTGGGCTTTCCTGCAAGAATACCATCAGGCAAAGATTTGGGTTTAAGAAAATGAAACATCAAACACAATCTCAGTAATGGGAAGGATGGAAGGGAAGGCAGTTGATTCACTGACAAGCTACCTGTCATCCTTTGTGACAAGGTTAAGACCTCCATAGTTCAAGTCTCAGAAATGTGTAAAGTTCATTGTCAGAGATGGCCCACCTAAATGAAAATGTCAGTTGAAAGCTACTCATGAGTTGAAGGGCAGAGGGTGGAAAAGGCCAGTTTCTACTATTCTTTGTGTAGTTAGAACCTCAATATCAATAACATTTCCCTTATCATATGTTGCTCCCTCCCTCACCCAAAGATACATGTCTTAAGACACTTATGAGTTCCACAGGAATCTGTTCACCTGATTGTGAAATGCCATCATTGAATATTTTTACTACATGATACAGGGTTAATACTGTCTTCATGAAGCCATGCTGGAGTTATTAGACCATGGAGTAGACCTTGAGGATAGCAGCATGGTCATCTTTCAAGACCTTCTCTTGGATCAAACTTCTGCTGAGTTCTTTCTCTATCCCATCAGATCTCTCCACTCTTCCCTCCCACCAGTTTCCAGTGTGATCTCTCACCTGCAGAAACTGAGTGTCTCCTTTCACATCATCCTTCAACCCTTCTGGCGTTCTTTCTACACCTGAGTTGGTATTCATAGCACTTTATTCTGTCATTTCCTTCTTTCTTCTCATGGGTTACACTTGGCACCCCTCTGGAATTCCACAGTCATTCCAATGACCATTTCCACTGTCTTTCTCAGGAGCCAGAGAGATCACACAAACCAATGCATCATTCTCCAGCCAGGTCACCTCAGGTAATACTCCTGGCAATTCTGATAGCATAGCACACACAGGGTCTGGCCGGTAAGAGCAATTTTGTTTGAGTTGGCCAATTTCACGCTTCTAAGGTTAATTATACCCCCAACACCTTGCCATGTGCATGTATTGTGTTTGTATGCATGTTTGCATATGTCTGGGAATGCTTGTTTGTGGAAGTCCAAAGTTGACATCTTACATCTACCTGGCTTATTCTCTACATTATTTACTGAGGCAGGGTCTTTCCCTGAACTTTCTACAGATGATGTATTTTGGCTATTAGAGCTATCCAGCTTTCTCTGGGGGTTCCCTGTCTCTGACTTCCAAGTGCTGATATTACTGACAGCAGCCATGCCTGCCCAGCTTTAAGTGAGTTCTGGAGATCTGATGTCTAATCCTCAGGCTGTGATTCTTTGGTTATCTAAACACCTGAGTGTCTAATAAAGAGCTGGCTGGCCAATAGCAAGGCAGGAGTGAGAATTGCCAGGGCTGTCAGGCAGAGAGGATAAATAGAAGGAGAACCAAGAAAAGAGAGCAACAAGAGAACAAGGAGAGGAAGACATCAGGGCCAGCCACCCAGCCACCCATCCAGTCACACAGTAAGAAGGAAAGCAAAATATGCAGAAGTAAGAAAGATAAAGGCCCAGAGGGAAAAGGGGAAAGGGGAAAGGGCTAGAAACAAGCCAAGCTAAGGCCGGGCATTTATAAGTAATAGTAAGAGTCCATGTGTACTTCTTTGGGAACTGAGTGGAGGGTCCCTCAAAAGGTAAAAGAGTAAAACGCATCCCAACATATGTTTATGTATGTGTGTATGCATATGTGTATGTATGTAGGCAAATGTGTGTATTTTTAGAATCCCTTTCTTCCTTCGGTGGTCAGTGCCTGCCTGTCTCCCAGCAGTGGCTGTACTGTATTGTTGCACAGCACATGTAAAGCAGCCTCATCTACCACAACTTCCACTAAATACTGGCAGCAGATTTTATACCCACTGCTTCCAATGGAGAAATCACACACCGGCAGACCCTGAGTACACGGTGACTAGGGGAACGTCATTCTGTGACTCCAAGATATATGATTTTATTTTAATAGTGTTTAAGGCCATGACATTTGATCTTGAAGAAATAAAGCTCACTGGTATAATTTCAGGCAAACAAACCTATGAGGATGCTTTGCCAGGAATCTCTGCATTGAGACTTCATAGCAAGCTTACTTGCTCATGGGTGGCATCACTCTGAGGTCCCATGAATGTGGAGGCTATGTTGTCTACTGTGACATGGGCATGGTTTCCCATTGAGCTGTGGCTTTTTCCTCATGGATATCAAGTACATATGCCTTAGGGGAAAGATAAAAGAGTGAAGAGGTGGGCGTGAGAGGGGCCATTTAATTTTATTGAGCAATATTTCCTCGTTAAACAGATTCATAGATAATTCAATTAGCTAGCTTTTGATTGCTCTTTTTAGTGGGTAGGCACTATATAATCAAAAGGTAGATTCTTCAAATCTTACCATCACAAGACATCATGTTAGGATGGTCATTGGATTGTCAGTCACTGTTCTGATGCTGTGAAGAAATACCATGACCAAAGTAACTCTTACAAAGAAAAACATTTAATTAGGAGTTTGCTTACAGTTTCAGAGGCTTAGCCCATTAATACCATGTCAGAGAGCATGGTGACAGACAGGCATGGGGCTAGAGAAGTATCTGAGAGCTACATCCTGCTTCACAAGCAAAGAGAGTGGGTCTGGCATTGGCTTCTCAAAAGCCCAAATCCATCCCCAGGGATGTACTTCCTCCAACAAGGCCACACCTCCTTATCCTTATAATTCCCTCAACAGGTCCACTCGCTGGGGACTAAGCATTCAAATACATGAGCCTATGAGGCCTTCTCATCGACGCCACCACAGACTTGGTGATGGTTTCCTCTTTGTACCAGCTGCATGCTCCTTTTCAGTGTCTCACTTTTTCTTTCCCTTGCCCCCTGCTGTGTATGTCCAGTTTGTTTCTCAGATTCGTTTACACAGAGCTACTCTCTGAAAGTGAACTTGGCTTAAGCTGAGTGGACAGCAGCCTCCAACAGCGCTGTGAAACTCTTCCCAGTGGAAAAGTGGAAAAGTGCCACAGCAGGCCACCTAGGAACCTGTCTGTCACATCCATGCTGTGTGCAGTAGAAAGCTCCATGATAGTCCTTATAAAAGTCAGTCCCATTCATGCTGTAAACAGATAATAATATCAATAACAGGCAGTAGACTTAGAGAAGGATGAGTCCCATATCAAAATCTGTGTTTTGTATTTTAATTGTGAAAATGATAGGAGTATAATTTTTGAAAAGGTAATGTTGTGATTGATTTCTTCTTGTACTGAGAATCCCACCCTTAATATAGTTGGCATGCCTCGGGGAGAGTGGGTAGCAACAGTCCTGAGAAAGGGAACTAGGTTGGCTGTGATGGAGTAGTGATCTGTGTTGGAAAGTGAGGTCTAGCTGCTACAATGTTAGAAATAACCTAGCCATGAGAAGGTCTCTGTGTGTTCATCTCTCATTGGAAGCTGGATTATTGCTGGAAGCTTAAGAAGAGGGAATTCAATTCCAAATAACAGATATATTTTACACATATAAGGATGTAAGTACTCTGGATTATACATATACAGCATCACTAGAGAATAGATTACAAAGTAGAACAGATATATAAGTGAAGAACAGAGCTAGTTAGTGATAAAGTTATATTCAGAGCATCCAGGAGAAGCATTTTGTTTTTGAGAGTGAGATAATATCTCTCCTTGAAAACAGGGGAGGTAGGCAAAATATGGGCTCAGACTGGATTTACCTCTTTGCCTTCTCTGACTAGACTACCTATTCTTCGTCAAAGACAGGGATGTTTCTTTATGGGCACATAAAGAAATGTATTTGCAATAAAAAAATGTCAGA